TTTTTTTTTGGTTTCTACCTATAAACAATATTGAAACAATATCTTTTACTTTTAACAAAAACAACATTTAATGCAATACCAGTACACATGTTTACACTTTAAAATATCATAATATATTAGATTATAATGTAGATATTTAATTATTATAACATGTATAATATTATAAATATGTAGGTATTTATTTATACTATAATAAGAAAAAGAAAAATGTGTTAGTACTTATCATGTAATGTAATTTGGTTCTAKTTCTAAGCCTTCAATTATTAATTAATTTATCATTATTATTATACTTATGAGTTATGAGTGATATATACAATAACTAGCTGAACAACTTGGCTTCTTCAATGTGGTAATATAGATGTATCTAGATTTGAGTGTAGCWCAGTCTTAGTTTTAATTTACCTTAGGACACAGAGAAAAATTTGAGTTGGTGTACCTAGCCTCGTGAAATAATATGACCTAGATGAGCAATTGTAGGTTATGAAATAGATTTATCATTTGGTATATTTTTAAAGCTATCTCCCAAAATGCACTCTACAGAAAAAAAATGGATGTAGTTCACCATAATAATATTAAAAGTACAAATAAAAAAAAAAATGTATTTACTACAAAATGCATTTCAAAATAATATTATACTTTGATTTTACATGCAATTAAAATTTTTTTTTAAGTATACGTATAAAGGTATTATGGATTATCCACAAAGCATAATTAAAGTCAAAATAAGTCAAAACCATATACCACTGAGCTGGAACACACAAGCATTAACTTTCAACTTATGATATTTTAGATACATATATGACCTAACCTATTATATATATAATGGATATAAAATATACATGTGACGTTAAAAATAAAGACATTGTATAATACCGAACCTTACATAGGTAGCTAGTGTAATGATAGTTGAACTGAGAAAATTAAGCATATAAGGCAGAAGTAGAGAACCAATGATACGCGTACCAAAGATGACGCATTGGTCAAATTTTAATGGCACGTGAAAAATTAAAGTTATATAAAATTATGCTACCTATCCTATTTATAAAAGTTTGGTTATAACTAAAGACTGTATTTATATGTTTTTACATAACGTCACTAGGTTTATGCAGTCTTAGAGAGTAAAAAATATGGACGATTCGTTCAACTCTAAATGTGTAGAAAAATTTGTTATTGCATATTTGAGAATATTTCATGAGTTATAGAATATTTAACCCATTTGGCATATTATGGAATATTTTGTAAATTGTGAGAAAAAAATTGTATTTATTTTTAATTTAAATATTAYGGTACCCAGAAAACATTTTTACCAAAGAAATATTGCCAAAGAAATATTGTTTTTGAGTTTTAATATTATACTGTTATATTTAGGTATATTATATTCTTATTTCTTACTCTATTTTATTTCATTGTTATACGTAACTTTTAATACTTCACTATTTAAAAAAAAATCTAAAAATGCATATTAAAGCATATAATTATGTTAATTAATTAGTTTAGCATATTTTTAAATTTATAAGAGAATATAATGAAAATATTTGAAAGTTTTTTAGAAAATATTAGCATTATATTTACCTAGGTATTTTAAGARAATATAAATCCAATCTTAAGTTATAACTGTTATAAGAAATTCAAAGAAACAAATTATGGGTTTTGAAAATTATAATATTCCTATGTAAATATTATAATGTTACTACCTATATTAAAACTATAATTATTATGAATTACTATTTAGTATTTACCTACAACTTTGTTTGAGTGAACAATTTTTAAAACCGTGATTGGAAAAATKTTGGATTCTTTTCAAAAAATGTATGCCTCCCCTGATATAAAGCATAAGTCTGATCTCATGGATATACTCACCCTCGTAAAAGTCCACCTTAGAGTAACTGGAATCGGATGAATTGTCATCAGAATCTCCAAGGTCTGTCATCATTGTGGATTTTTGAATAAAAGTTTGAGTGCCAAAATAAKTGTAAGCAGTTAAAAACAACTGAACACTAATGTGGTAGTGCGAAAACTATCACACCTTATTCTTTTAGGTACCTATGTAAGAAAAACTCAAAATCGCTTTGACTCGTTGCAACGACAAATGCAGCCAGAGGTCTGATTCGTTGTTATCCTTTTTCGGTTGAAGCGCAGGTTGCCGGAAACCACTAAAATTAATTGAAATATTATAACGTCTGTACCTATTTGTGTTATTATAATTTTAGCATAAATGCATAATACTAGTTAATACCTAGTAAATAGTTATTAGTTAATATCACGAATATTACTCATTATTATTGCTATGTTTGCGAACGCTCGACGAGATTAAAATATTTTCGTTTTATCATCGTAAATAAATAAATAATAATATGTTACATGTTTATCATTCCCGCGTCCTACCTACCGACCAGCAAACCGACATTCACGACGAATCGTACCGCACGTCACAAATATAGATAAAATTAATATTATCTATATTCTGTGTTATGTGTGCCGCGTGTACACATAACATAGGTATGTCATAAACTCATGATAAACATGTTTGTGACGTAGMACTTTGCCAAAAYGACGAGCGGTGAAGTCGTCGACCGCGACGGTTGGCGGCGGCGAACCAATGAGAAACGGTGAAACGCATTCATCACTGTACCGCGACTGTGAAAGAGGGTGGATGCGCTATCTGTTTCAAAACCGGTATTATTGTTGACATACCTATTTCATTTTTAATGCTACACAACACGGCGGACTCGGCAGTCAGCGCATTGGTACTATAATGACTATAATACGAATAATACGATCCAATTATCTACTAGGCATTGTTTAATATTGAGAAACGATTTAGATATACATACAATGCAGTATTGTCTATTTACATCGATGTTATTCAGTATTATATTGTAATCTAGAATTGAGATTATCAGTAGAATTTGCTATTTTTTTTCTTACAATCTAATAATTGGTTGTATATTATAATGTCATAATATAAATGTTTATGAGTTATGACAATAATATAATATTACTACATCAGTATACGAGTACCTATCCTATATATATATACCTATATAATAAGCGTGTGTTAAGGTACCTACGAAAAATTGTACAATGTACATTGCTTTGTAAGCAATTTTCTTTTCAATTCTGCGACGATTTTTTTGGTTTTACAATGATTGATTTTTATTAAATTGATTTCATTTTTGGGCATTTCAATACATTTTGAAATAGTTGAAGTAGTAGTATACCAAATACTCATAGATTTTTCTAGGAGGTGTGAAGTTTGGATTTGAGGAGAAACTTAAAAATATCTCCGATTTTCTCAATTTAAAAAACATTCCTGCAAAACCAGGGTCACGAAAAATGCAMCAGCTTGTCCACCATCTATGCAAGTACTTTAAATTAACAGTGATGGGATTGGATAGGCAAATTCAATGAAATTTAGAACCTTGTCGACAGTCGTTTTCAACATAGCTTACCGTACTCTAATCAATAGTATTTTTTGGTCTCACTCTCAATGTTCGGCAGGCAGCCGAGTTTTTAATAATTTATTAATTTATTACAGACGAGGCACATCTGTCTAGCTGCGAGCTCGACGCGTCCGCACGCGCACGACTTCGCATTATTTATCAGTTATTATCAGGTTCTCTGACCAGTTTACGCAGCGGATATCGCGTTCGTCGTATTATACTATTATGGTTATTATTATTGTTATAAATTACTCGCATTATTCGGTGGTTTGCTAATTTATTCGCTTCAATTCGCTTTCGGTTTTCGTCTTGGCCCTCGCCCGTCTGCTCCACATGACCATTACCGTCGACGTCGTTTTGTATTATCATTAGTCTCGGGCTTGTCACGTAGTCATCGCGTGAGTACACTGCCATCCATCGACTTGAGCCCTAATCCTCTATATTATGGTTCACTCTGTCGCTTAGCGACGGTCAGTCGTCATACACCGATGCGGACCTGGGAGTAGCCCCGATATCTGCAGCCCGTCGATGACTGCCAGACCCGTTTGAGCGGAGAGTCGACGGTTTCTGGCCGTACATATCTGACATGTTGGTTTTGCAGTGCCAATCTTAAATGAGAAATCATGAACACACCAGGTAACCAAAGTTCTTCACTGCAGTTACTAACATTATCATTGTTACCTCTGTATATTCAAGTGCAACGCGTGGAACCAAATTAACTTGTCGAATCTGTTTGTTTATAATTCCTTGTAGGTCAGAACTTTGGTTAGAACCAATGGTTTTATTATATTTGCTAGCTATTTACTTATTAGTTATTTCCTATTCCGACCAAATACGCTAGATGTAGTAATTATTGTCTGTTTGTAATCAGCATCTACCTAATGCTAATATTGTATTTTTAATCAAATAGACAAAGAGTCAAATTATTATTTGGCTTTTCATAATATGAGTTAGTTATACAACTAAACCGGGTCGATCTCATGTTGTACGAGAGGTTTTTTTAATGATTTTGGTTCTGATTTAATAGAATTTTGAAAAAAAACATATTTATTTATTTTTAATAAGTAATAATATTTTTAGAGAAATTTCATAAMTTTTAAACATAAATAATAAAAAAATCATTTTATTTTTCAAGAAGGTATCTTTAACTATCCATTTGCAAGATATTTAGATAAATAGTCAATATAATTATAGGTTTGTACCTAAATAAGGTTGACCTAATTTTAATTTTAATTAATTATAGATATCTAATATAATAATAATAATAATACTTATATATAATATTATCATTATTACCTTAGCCATTTAATGAAGAATCGAAATTTAGTGCATTATAAGAAATGTAACTGTGATGAAAATGATTTAAAATTTTAATTAATTACAATTATAATAATAAATTACAGTGATAATACTGATTTTAATAATAATTGTACCTATGTTAAAATCAAAATAATGAAATATGTTCGCCTCATAATAAAAAAAAAAAACAGTTTGTAGGCATTTATCCCAAAAATATTTTTTTTTAAATTTGTCATTAGATTACTGACTGATGTGTGTATAAAGTTAATTTAAAAAAAAATATATGTATATATTTAGTTCTTCGGTACAAATTAATTTTATATCAATTATTTCAATTCAAAGCGGAATTCAAAGTATTAAGAGGAGTAATACCCGCATGTGTTATCTCCATCTTATAATTGGGTATCATATACGTAGAAAAAACCGAGGAAAATACTGTTTCACGCGGAAAAGRACCGGGAAGTCTATTGTTATAACTATGAAACTAAATGTTCATCATGAAAGAAGGAAAATTTTAACCATGTCACTGCGTTTTTATTTTTTTGATWAGACCAATATATCAAAAGTTATTGATGTTTGGAAAACTTAAAAATATTRTATTTTTAAAAGTTTTATAACTTTTTTCTTATTAATGAGCAAATATCTAACAAATAAAAACGCTACAACACAGAAAATATTATCATCTATTTTGAGTTAACTTTTGGTGTTTCTATTAGGATTACAGACTGAATGGTTCTATCCCGCGCTAAACAGTTTTTGCTATGTTACGCACTTATAAGGTGGAGACAACACATGTGGGTTGGGTATCATGYCCTCTTAATGCATTTACTAAACTTTAGAGGACTATACTTAATAAATTAGTAAACCAAAATTGATGACTTGACTAACAAAATTTTCAGAAAAAAAAGTTTTCCCATATTACATGTTGTTAAGTACCATTTGAAAAATAAAATCGATCTTGGTATTAGTTCAACTAAATTTAAAAAAATTTTAAATTGTTACAAAAAAGTTGTCTGTTAAAGTAAAGAAACATGTATTTTTTTTTGTTTATTTGAAATTCCATAATTGTTATAAACACCTGCATACAATTACATAAGWWATACCYGGTATAACATGATACATACTTTATAAGTCTTTTTAATTTGTTTATTTTTGTAACTGAAGAAAATAACTATATATTAAAGCTAATTAGGTTAAACCAATTAATAATTGTTGAATAAGTACTTAWAGAATATTTTTGTGTATATAAAAAAATTAGCTACCTACTACTTCTAGTGCTACTGCCTACTATAAACTCACTTTTTTGGTTACTAGTGTTAAAATGTATTGTTTTACAAGACGTTCCTCTTTTTAATCTATTTATTGCTCTTTTAGTATAGCTAATTAGAATAAATTTATATAAGTGATGAAATTTARCAATAGAGTCATGAGTGGTACCATATTTTAAGTTTGATTTTACTAATAAATAATAATTGTAAACTATCATATTTCTCACWAYAAAAATAAAGATCAAACTGCCTCGTAGAGGGTGTTATAGCACCTTCTAGATTTGCCCCTGTTAGTAGGCACATTTTTTAATATTTTTAAAATAGTTAGACTTAGTTTTCTATATTGGATGCAAAAATTGTGAGAACAATATTTCTTTCATTAGAAAAAAATATAATTTTCAAAACTCATCTTAATCATCAAACACCACACTATCATGTAGACTGTAATTTAAACTGTTTCGTGTTAATAATCTAGAAATACTCAATCTCGTACTCAATTATATTGTTGTATAAATATAAACATCTTATATKTWAACCAATGCACATTCTTAATACTAGGTTAAAGAAAAWAGCAATGTAAATTCCCCTGTTTGTATCAAATTATTTGGCATAATGACGTCCTCATTTAATATTGGTATTAATTTACTGTGTAATAAAAACATAAATATTTTATGCGTTTCCGACATTAACTAAATTTAATATTTTTACTAAAAATATATGTGTCAAATAATAGGTAGATATTTAATTTAATATAAAACATGAACATATTGTTTCTTTCAAAAAAATTGTATAACTGTGTTTAGAATTTACCTTATTGTCATAATGTTAAAACTCTTTTAACCATCGGCATGCGCAGGTAATTTCAGGGTATGCAGAACAAATGTTGGTCTGTGATACACATTTTTAATTTCATTAAAATATCAATTGTGTGTTTATTAGACTAATAGTGTCTTGATTGAATCTTTCATAAATTCAACTATTCATTATACCAAGCATAGGATAAAATGGTTGAACTCTTAATTCTTCCTTTAACGACTATGCCTGTAACTGTCAATTTATATTGTCCATACAAGCTTACATATTTTGCTTTGTGGCTAATGATAATGGGATATCAAAATTTTCACATATAGAAGTACCTACAAATTTCAAACATAGTTTAAAACAGGCATGCCAAACATTGCCGCATGTGGCCCTCAGCTACCAATATTAATGAACAAAAACATGTAATAATATRATGAAATATCACAACTATCTTAGATTCTTAGAAAATGGTTTATTTGGCTTACATTATTATACTGCCCTATCTTCAGATAAACTAATTGAATGAGAACTTTTTTTTAATTTGTATATGTGGCTTGCATAGTAAGATTTTCACTATATTTGGCCCACTTGACACTTTRAGTTTGACATGCTTGATTTAAAATATATTTTGCACACCCCCTGTATATGCCCCTATGCCTATGCATCCAACCTAAAACTATTTTACATAGAGGATGGGTCGGAAAATATTTTGTAAATACAATCCTTAATGCATTTAAATATTTCTTAAATAAAGTTCTTCATATTATTGTTACATATCTATTTATAATGAATTATAATTATAAATCAATTATTATAATGGTAATAGTGTAACATACTAGAATCTGCATAGAAGTACCTATAATCGAGAGTATAATTTATCTTAATYATTAGCATTTAATCTTAATACTACCCATTCAATTAAGTTTATCATTAAGATAAATTGTTATACTAAAATAGCTTGCCTATATTTAGCTAATATTTTATTAGATAAATACTAATGACGAATGAGACCTTTAAACTATAAATTAAGTCTTATTTTTTATAATTGCTAGCACAGAATTTAATATGGAGAATCAATAAATATAAATTCCTAAAACGCTTTTATTTATTTATTTCAATTAGGTATCATTTAGGTACCTATTAGGTATAAACACTAATTGATATTAACAAATATTAACACTAATTGATTTGTTTAACATATATTTTTTGAAACATTTTTATTTTTGTTTAGAAAAAATGAAGCCACTTCCACTACCAAAACCAAATTCTAGTGACTGCAGTTGCAATGAATCACAAAAGTATGTTTTAATAATTTATTAACTGATAAACATTATTATATCAACAATTGGTGTTTAATTYAGCCCAATTGGAAAACGCCTGGGCAAAGTTAACAATTAGATACAATAAACTTACCTATTACTTTACTGTTGATATTTTTCAAACTATTATTTTCAGTARGATTTTATCTACATTAAGTAGAACTTTTGTAAAATATATTAAGTAAATCTTATGTATCATTTTTTATTCTTCTTCATAAAAATAACTTTCAGCATTTCAAGGATAGAATTAATAAATTATTTATAATTTAATTAAAGTAATTCATTATTTTTTTATTATTATTATATTTTRTACTAATGATTGAGTTTTATTATTCCAATATTTAAGTTTTTGTTTTAAATATAAATTTATATGTATAATATTATTATGTATTACAATTAAAATCCTTTTATTTTATATTTTCACAAATAATCTTATTAAGATAAGTTATTATTTTATGGTAGCTTTAGTTTAGTAAAGTTTATAAAATAACTACCTACTAAAGAATATTGGACAGCAAAATATATACTTTTATTCCAGATAAATTAATATTCAAAATTTTTTAAGTTAAGACCGGTTAAGACTTTTTAAAYTAATCTAATGTAAGTTATGTATTATTATTTTTTTTTTTTTTAAGGATATGCCCGAAACATATAATGGTTACCCAAAATGACAAAGATAATGTGTCAGTTTTAAAATGTAATTTACATTCTACAGCTACAAGGTATACGGTCAAACCTCCACTGCTTCCAAAACCAAATAACATTGCATTGAAAACTAGTCCTTATAAAGTCAAGCATCAATTTCCTAGTGTCAAGAATATTGAAAAACTTCAAACAACTTCAAATCTAACTGTTAATCAATCTGTAAGTTGTGAGCCTAACAAAAATGACGAAGAAATAAAAAATGACAGTGATGTCAATTCAAATGTTTCCCAATTAGAAGTTCCTCATAATGTAAATAGTATTTTAGAAAATAACATAATTGATAATGAAAATAATAACAGTATTAACAACAAATGTACTGACGATGACTTAGACTTTGATTATCAAAATGACAGTTTGCTGAGTGAATATGTGGTATTTCATGGTGAATTAGATATGTCAATTAATAATTTAGATGATATTATGAATACCACAATTGATGATGAAAAGTTGTCCATTGCTAGTGATTCTACAGACCAATCATTTTCTGTTAGGAAAAAGATTGTCAATTGGTTTGGGTCATTTGGTAAAGGGAAAATATTAAAACAAAAGAAGCGTAGTTCTTTTTATGAAAGTCATAATGATGATAGAAACATTGAAAAAGAAGATAATGATACAGATTCTCACTCATCACTTGATGACAAGCCAAATGAAAAACTAGAACTTGATGAAACGTTGTCTATTGACAACATTGAAACTGAAGAGATACCTACCAAAGCAAAATCCCTAAGAACCGTTGAAGAACTTATATCAACTGAAAAAATATTCATTGATGTTTTAAATCTATTATGCAAAACATTTGTTACGTTTGTTGAACAAACTGGAGTAGATGTTAAACTGATACCATCTACTGATTTATCAAAAATAATCAGTCCTCTTCCCCAATTACTAAGTCTAAATGAAGACTTGTTACAAGACATGGAGAATCGTTTGAAAAACTGGAATGAAAATCCTAAAATTGCAGATGTCATAGTAAAGAAAGGACCTTTTCTTAAACTCTACTCAACTTACATACAAAACTTTGAAAGTCAATGTAATTTGTTGGACGAATACTGTCAAAAATATCCTCGATTTCAAAAGTGTGTAAAAGACTTTGAGGCTTCGGACGTGTGCAAAAAACTTACCATTAAGCACTACATGTTAACACCAATTCAGCGAATTACCAAGTACAGACTCTTACTAGAAAACTATTTAAAAAACCAAGATGAAGGGTCTATTGATTACCAAGATACAATAATAGCATTAGGCATTGTGTGCGATGTTGCCAATCATGCCAATGAAAGTATGAAACATGGGGTGCGTTTTTGTATTTTTTGTATTATCTTAATAGAATTTTTTAATTTAATATTTTGTAAATAAAATTTCAGGATTGTGTGAGTAAACTTTTGCAATTACAATCACAATTAGGAAGTTACATTATAATTAAACCAGGCAGAGAACTTATTAAAGAAGGTGAACTGTATAAGTTGTCCAGAAAAGATATGCAACTTCGGTATTTTATTTTGGTATGATAATTACTTATAAATACTTAATATAATCCCAACATATTATTTGATTCATTTTTTTTAAAATACGTATTTAATATACATTATTTCAGCTCAATGATTGCTTGTTATACACATCATATTATGGTACAGTTTCTGGGTTGAAAATTAACTATGAGCTTCCACTTAGTGGTATGAAAGTATTTCTTCCCATTACTGATAATTGTCTCAATGAATTTAGTATAATAACAATAACTCGAAGCTTCACTCTCAGAGCCAAGTTAGTTGATTTTGTGTTTGATACTTACACTTTTCTTGTAGAACGTKATTTTATACAATTATAATACATTGTATTATAAATTATGTGTTACAGGTCTGCTGTAGAGCTTAAAGAATGGGTCAACGTCTTAGAGAAAGCAATTAGAGAACACACTAACAAACAGCTTTCATTTCTAAACATGAAATTCGTTTCAAAAAACGTTGGATGTGAACCACTTCAATTGGGATATGAGGCATTTATTAATTATTTGTCTTTTTCCTTGATTGTGTGTAATTTTTAATTTTTATCTAATTAGGCACCGATATGGATTCAAGATTGTCGCGTGACTATGTGCCAATCATGTGCTACAGAATTTACYGTCACATTCAGGAGACACCACTGTAGAGCATGCGGAAAAGTATGTGTAGATTGTTCTGAATGATTTAAATAAACTGTTTCTATTGATATTAACATTAATATTGAGTAGGTAGTTTGTAGTAGCTGTTCAGAAAACAAAGCACCACTTCGTTATATGAAGTTTCAGTCTGCAAGAGTGTGTGACGATTGTTATGATTATTTGCTCAAAGGTATGTTGAATGATTTATTAGACCATTGGTAACTTTTTTTGTTAAAACGGTTTAATTGTTGGATAAAATTTATTTGTAGAGTTTGAAGACAAAATATTAGAAATGCGTCAATCGTCGAGTAATAGTGATTTTGAAATTCTTAAAATGGTGGATACTGTAAAAAACTCTTTTAAGAAGTCTGGTGTATGGAGCTCAAAAAAACTTGTTAAGTATGTTCCACAGCGGTTAAAAGAGGTAATTATTATTTTAATCAATTCATTATTCATAATCATTTTAATCAATTCAATATGATAAAATGATGTAATTAACTTATAAACAAAAAATTTTATATATTAATAGATATAATTATATACAGGTAATGGCCAACGATTCTGGCTCACAAATGAGTGGTTGGTTGTATCGGCGGGAAAAACGCAAATCGTGGAAAAGATTTTGGTTTGTTCTAAAGKAACAAGTTTTGTATATGTACAAAGCTTCTGAAGACGTTGTTGCATTGAACACCATACCTGTTCTTGGATATAGTGTTCAAACATTCCCAGAAGTAAGCGCATTATAGTAGATTTATATTAACAGTATACATTTACACTATTAATCAAAAAATATAATAATATAATCAATAATTTACTTGTTTTGATTAATTTATACCTTTATGCCTATACATTTTATAGCACTTAATGAATTMAAGAATTAATAATAATGTATTTCTGCATACTAAGAATTGCTAGAAAGTTAAAATTTATTAGSATTGAGTCACCAAAATGTAGACATTAAAAATTTAACGATATAATAAATTAAACGTATTTATTAAACTGGCAATAGATCTCTAGGTTATACAAAACTTTTGGTAACAATTAGAAATACATAACCACCAAAATTATGTGTCATGAAAAGCATTTAACTTTGAATATAGTTATCACCTACCCTCTAGTTGATTCAGCTGTAGTTCTTACACCATCTTATAGAAAATAATTAAAAAATTACATATTGTGTGAATGTATTGTA